ACAATTTAGAATCACCAATTATATACTATAGATATTGTACTTCTGACAGAAACCAGCAAAGTGTAAAAAGGTCCCTCTGTCTTCCATTAAGTGACCAAATGTCATGGAGCGTTTCTTAATTAGTACTATTCCATATGGGTGTGTCATGAGATGAGAAGTTATGTTTACGGGCCAGTTTCTGATTGATGGTATTTTTACACGACCTTCCCCTTTAAGACGCCCCATCCACTGCTGGCCTACGTTTCCCAGAATGCCAAGCGGCCTAATACTCCGTGAATCAGTGCGTCCACTTCGCAGCAGCGGAGCGACGGCGGCAGGAGGAGGAGGCGTCCGGGTTCAGAACGACTGCACGGCGGGCTGCTGTCACCGGCCGAGATGTCCGCGTCGTCCACGCAGAGCCCGGACACGACCAGCCGGAGGAGGAGGCCGGCCGAGCACACGCAGGGTGAGCCGACACGGGGCGACTGTGAGCGGCTCTTTATTTAGCTCGTGTTAATTAACAGGAAAAAAAAAACAACTTTATTTGTAACAAGCAGACTGCGCATTAAGCAGCGCTGTGTTTAATCTCCATTTTAACTGTGTGCACGTACAGTGTGTTGTTTAGCGTGATGTACAGGAGGAGAGGACTGTTGTTGTGTTTATTACAGTCACGTTGTGTTCATTAAGAGGTGCTTCCCCTGTGTGTGTGTGTGTGTGTGTGTGTGTGTGTGTGTGTGTGTGTGTGTGAATAGTCTTCAAATGTGCTTGACTTCCTAAAACACTTCTTAACTGCGCAAACTAGTGCTTCAGCTCGACTGGCAAAATGAAACACCACATATTTTAATAAAACAAACACATATAAATTCAAGAATATATGTGTTTGCAAAGTGTTCATGTTTTCAGATACAGCAACACAATAGAAATATTTCTGTGAACCACTGCAGCCATTTATTTCTTGCACTTTCCCCCCCTTTCTTTAAACTGAAGAATTCAAACAAGGCTTTCAAAACTACTTTGACCACCACCGTCGCTAACAAATAGTCATATATTTACTGTTTATTGAAATTATTATACATGTGTTATGAGCAGGCGTAAACTGGCTTCATGTTGCTAGCTGGAGCTTTTATTGGTTGGCTGTCCTCGCTTTTCTTATTTTCGTTCCATCCGATACTCTACCTGAACATATCTGAGGGAAATGACATGTGATCCTGTTTAAAATTAGATTTTTCTTTTTAGACAGCAGGTATTTTGTGATTCTCACAAACATTTTTCCGATCAAGATGAATCAAAGCTGTGATCCATTTTAGCAGCACACAGTTGGTTAAATGGCACACCAGTAAATTGTGCATTTTTCAAAGGGGCCATAGGAATATAGATGGAGTCAAACAGTCAGTATTTGTGTTTATATTTTATAACTCTGTCTTTTTAGTTCCCTCTCTGACTTCACTGCGTAGGTTAAGTCTGTGTGGGATGCCCACTTTTACAACATCATACCCAACTTTTTTCTTTGTCAAATTTCTTTTTCACAACACATAAGCACTGGTTTAGGGATAGCTTTCGTAGTACTCCCCTTGGTTATTATTCTCATTAGCACTTAACCTATTGATTCCTTTTTAGATACATTTATAAAAAAAGTCAGAAAATATGTATTAAAAAATGAGCCATCACAGTTTCTTAAAGTCCAAGTTCTTAATAACTACCTGATCAACTGTCAGGGTTGAGAGAGTTAATACAAATAACATCTGGAACTATAAATCAGATGCAATTATAAACCTGAATTGCCCTGCGGACATAAATGACTCAAGCTTCAGATTGTTCTGCAGGTTATTCCAGGTTGCTGGTGCACAGTGAGTAAAACTGGATTTTTCCAAGTTCATTAAAAAGAGCCAGCACCTTCAGCAGGATCCAATCATTTAAGGGACCACACTGAAAGATAGTAATTACATGTTGTAAGAAAAAACAATAATAAGCAAGGCCCAGCGTGTGTCATGTCTCACAAAGAGGGAGTATTGTAGTTATCACCAGGAATAAACCTTAATGCAGAGCGAGAAACAGTGTCCGAGGGCTGAAGAAGTGTTGTTCATACATGCATGTATAAAATATCACCGTAATCCACCACTAATAGAAAAGTCACATCAGTTAGCATCTTTCTTCAGTGCAGTGGGAAACACAATTTAATTTAATAATTTTGTCACCAGTTCAGACACATGATATTTAAAAGTCAACTTCCCAATGATCCAAATAACAAGATATTTCTATGTAGCTCTTTTATTATATGACACCTGCTTTGGTGAAGATCATGAATTTATCCTAAGAGTTTCTAAAGCGTCTCTTTGTGGTTCTGTCACCTTTCAACCAAGAGACTTCTTCAGGTCTGAAACTTGTAACAGCATCAACAACAGCAGTTAATTTCAAAGTAACATTGGAAAGATTTTCTGTTTTGAACTGAAGAAGCCTTTTGGGTGAAAGGTGAAAAAAGTCTGCTTGTCTTCTGCTGAAACTCTTAGCATTACCATGACTTGGATGACTGAGAATCTAACCATCCATCCAT